TGCTGACTTGCTTATACAGCCCTCTGCCAAGTGCGCCAGCTTTTGTGACACCCCTTGTAATACGTGCAAGGCCTACGCGCAGGTGTTTGTTGCTGGCAAAACAGTCTCAACTTGGGGATTTTTTTACTTAGTTTCATTTATTGCCAAGTAACAAACTTCTAATCATTGTTGGGTAATTAAACAACTACGTAAGTAAACACCTTTTTTCCCACCTTTTCCAGACTCCACTTAAGCCAGACACTTCTCTTTGCCCTTCCATCTCTCAGCTCCCCTTACTTTCACCACAGGTCCCACTCTGTCCCAATTCCTTCCGTGAGGAAGGGGGTCACACAGTATGTTGTGGTCATGTGTGTAATGGCTTCTCTCTGCCACTCCTCCTTCTTACTCTGCCTGCTCCATCGTGTGTCACTCACAGCCACAGTCCCTTCGCGGCTGTCCCTGCTCTAGCATGGGTCACCCAGGGACTACCAGTCCCTTTGGGAGTGCACACCTTTGGCATGGAGCACCTCCTTTTGAGAGTGCAGCTCCACCTGCATGTCTCCGCAGGCATGTCCAGGTGTGTCTCCTCTTCCAGTGGCTGCCACTGGTTCTTAAATATGCTTGAGCAGAGGTGTCATCTGCTCCACTGACTGGCTGAAGTTTTGATGGCTCACACCATTTTCAGAGCCAGATGGAACCATCTCTGTGACCAGCATGAAGCAGATATGGCCTTCACCCATACAGGTCACACCAGCAGCCCTTGCTACCCAAACTCTACCATATACGCCCAACGCAGCACCCATATTTGTAACAATTGGGTGCTTATATGTAAATTAACGGGGTGCTCTTGCATTAACAAATTGGGCATTCATGCATGTACTAACCGGGTGCTTGGGCATAAATTATTTGGGCACTCATGCATGAACTAATTGCATGCTTCTGCAAAAATTATTTGGACATCATGCATAAATTAATTGGACACTCATGCATGAATTTACTTTTACTAATTTGGCACTCACACAAGAATGCAGTCACCCCAGCAATTTACAGCCTATGTGGCACTCCTCACCTCTGCAAAAGCACATATCGAAGAACTCTTTGAATGTTAATACATTATGAACTCTTCCAACATCATCACAATCTTAATGTGTATCAGTTATAAACTCCACTCTTCCTCCCTTTGGACCAAACAGTTAGGGATTAATACTGTAACAGTACAGTTACTAAAATGTCACTCCTCCATCCTGGGCACCACATTACAGGGGTTAACATCACAGTTTGTTGATATACCCATCACATGCCGCACCCCTGGACCAGACTACAGCGGTTAAGAGTGCAGCAAAATTCCACCCACTCTCCTGTGGGAACCAGATGACAAGACTCATCAGCATGGTCTGGGCGACATGTTATCTGTTACAAACTCTACCCTTTCTCCCTGAGGACTTAATTGGGTGTTAACATTAACACAGCCTGAATATCTACTCATCACAGACTTCACCCCCTCATCCCTGTGGACAAGACTACAGAGGTTAATATTAGAACAATCTGAGCACGTGCTTATTACAAACTTCACGCTTTGTTTCAGCAAAATACATAACCAAGTTTGAATATATACCTGTTAGAAACTCCACCCCTCACCCCTATGGACAATCTGAATACTTGATAGAAATTTTAGTACTTGTCCCTTCAAAACAACCAGCCAAGAACATAACAGCCATTCAAGTTACTGTGCTTTAGCATAAAAGCGTATGATTAAGATCGTACGATTAACACCACTGTTGAAGGTACCAGTGGGTCATGAATTCAGTCTCTGTAGGGCTTCATTTACATTCAAAATGGGGGCTGAACAGTGTTCACATGCAGCAGTGTGGGCATTTCCCCATTCGGGGAGTGAGATGACACACCGAACAGCTTCACTGTCTTGGCGCTTGCTCCACAGCCATAACAACATTAGCTGAGCTCTGACCTTTTTGCTGTGCTTGCGGTTGCTTAATCCACAGCTCTAGATTTCTGTCCTGCTTCCATCTTATACTCCTTTTCCTTCTGGAACATCTGTTATTCCCAGCATGTAGGGTGGGAGCATGGAGAGTTTTCAGCCCTTTTTGACACTTTTTTTTCAAGGATAGACATAAACCGGGATTTTCTGTGGAGCTAATCTCACACCTCTCTTCCAGCATGCTTCCCACAGTACGGTATCTATAGGTCACTCCTTGATCAACAGGACATCCCACCAGTTTAAGAGATGATAATAGAGGAGCATACATGGTACATACATTTTTCCTTTGGCTGCTTATTACAATGTTTATTTAAGAGTTTCAAGAAGAGTCAATTACTCACCAGAGGTAGGGAGATTAATCGTGGTTCCTTATACACATGGCACATTAACACTTCTGCTTTATTGTCTCCCTAGGGCTTTGACCTCACATTTAAGCTAACAGAATGAAATATAGGCAGGCTTACACTGAAGTACCTCCAACACAGCCGTTGTTGTTAATGATTTGCAAATGGGGCCTCCAAACAGGCATGCCCTTTCATTCTTGCACTATCCCCTAGACAACTTGTTTAAGGAAGAAGTAAATAAAAACACATTTACAACAATGACAGATCCCTCCCGTGATTTCTGCTTCCATGTTGTAGGGGAAAGCAATTCCCTCTCCCCTCCGCATTTTTCTTAGACCCACCTTCCCAAGGTCTACCTCTCCAAAGGAGCTAGCATGCTGTGCAGAACAAGCTTGCTCTAAAGCCTAGTGAGATCAGCTGGTGATTGGGGAACTCTGTTGCAGGAGGAATTGCTGAGCATGAGGCTGGAGAAAGCTGAGCAGGAAGGAGTGAAAGTTACTTACCTGGATTCTTCCATCGTGTAACTCTTCAGATGCACTTTTGGGAACAGTCGAGTCTGTGCTGGCATGTGCCCATACTTGACAGTATTCACAGCACTGCTATTTTTTATAGCCTTTTTGCTTGGCTCTGAACTGTGCTAGCTCACCTTTTAACTTCAGGGGACAGCTCTGCAGTGGGTTTCTGTAACAGGTTTCCCATTCCACCTCTGTGGGCTCTGGAGAATCAGGCTGGTAAGAGGCAGACAGTGCTTTTCAGTCTGCATCAGGTCAGTAACACGGGACAGAGCCCAAGGGCTATGAAGCCTCTGTCGAGCTGTGCTGAGGGGTGCCTGCTCAGAACCAGCTCCAACATTTCGGTAAGTTGCCTGAGCCTGGCCGTTCCTTATACTTTGAAGCTTGCAGCTCTGAAGGTCAAATTTACCTTTCAGTAAACTTGGAAGATTCACTTGCTTGTAGGCAGATGGTGGAGGGGAGGAAGGGGCAGATCTGTAAATACATTAATGGAATATTGGGCCATCTACAAGATTTGTCTGCTTCTAGGTCCCAGTAATGGTGATGACCGGAGTTGAGGCATTTCAGTGCTTGAGAGCACCAAGCAGCAACAGGGAAGCAAGCAGTAAAGCTGGGGGAACATTTGTAAACCACAGCATGCAGAGTATGAAGCTCCGCATCACTCCAGTAAACACTCTACTATGTTTTGCATCTAGACATAAATGCAGTAATTTATCTCTTCTCCAGGGCTTCAGAGGGCAGAACTGTGGAAGTACCTTACAGAGGGGACGTGGAACTCACCATCCTGGATATCCTTGGGGGGCTGCGCTCCACCTGCACCTACGTGGGAGCTGCCAAACTCAAGGAACTGAGCAGGAGAACAACATTTATCCGGGTCACCCAGCAGCACAGCCAGGTCTTCTCTTAGCCCAGGACAGGGGTCTGGAGACAGAGGGGTGGGGGAGAGGAGCAGGAAGGGCTGCTGTTTTGTTTTGCTTGCTCTTCCATGTTGTGTTAGTGGCAAACTCTCCCCTCTCTCAGAATGGCAGGGTCATAGCCACTGGAGGGGCTATGGCTGGGATGTGGAAGGGGAAGGTTGTGTTATTAACATAGTGCCATTGGTTCAAAATGCAATAGCGTCATCTTTTATTGTTGTGCCTATTTTATCTTTTAATCAGCATTTCTTTTCCTGTTTTTTCCCCCCTCTGGTAAATAGCTGCTGAAATCTCAATTAACAAGGAATTAGCTTGTACAAACATGGCTGTTACGCCTGCACACATACACACATTCCCTTTTTTAAGACTGGCCTGTCCGCAACCACCGCCTCTCTCAGGGCACCCTCCAGAAATTGCAGGCTGGGAGAGAAAAAGATGCAAGGAATTGCATGGAGAAATCAAAAATCAAATTCTTTTCATCTTTGTTCTGGCGAAATAATACTCTGCCAGCCTGCAGAGTGTCGGAGGTGGATGGTGGCTGAGGCCTGGCTACTGGTGATTCCTTGCTGTGATGATAAAAATGCCAGATCTTTTTCACTCTCAGTTCGCAGGGCTAGTACTGCCGTTCTTACTTAAATCTCCCTATTCAACGGACTTGCCTCTTGAAAAAAGCTGACACTGAATGTAGCAAACCCATGCTGTCCTCCTTGCCCCCATCTGTGGAGATCGTTCAGAAGACGTCTCAGAGCTTGCTTGCTTTTTCGTGTCTGCAGTTACTGAATTGGCTGCGTTCCTGCTTTCACCTGCTCTCTGTGAACAGACTTTTAAGACATTGAAACTCAGCAACAGTAACCCCACCACAGGGGGTTTCTCTGCAGCCCTCCCTCTTCCCTTGCCTGTTGATAACCATTTAGCAAAGATGTAAAAATGCTGTGCTGTGCATTGTCCGTGGCCACCTGAATGAGGCTGGAGAGATCAAATTCACTTCTGGTTATTTGGTACCACTCCTTTGCAGGCCTTGACACCATGAAAAGCAAAAGAGAGCTTCTGGCAGAATAGCCCAATGGCAAGGCACTGGTAGGCTGAGACGGAGTTAAAGCATTTGCTCTAAAGGCAGTAATGAATGTTTAAGACTCTGGGTAACACTTTAATAAAGTGTAATGGCCCACTAATTCATTGATAAATCACAATGAAATTTCTTTGGAAATACACATTGCATCCACATGAATACCGCAGTAGCTCGTTATGATAAGCGATGTAAAAGTGAGCACCGATGAATTAATAATGCTTGGCCACTTACTTTAAAGTGGTGCTGAGATCATAATATAGCTGATGTTACTTACAGTACTTACTGAGTCTTACTTTCCCCTCCTGTAGGTATCTGTGGAAAGAGGCAAGCTTCCTTTGAAAAGCAAAAAAGTGATCTGTAGGAAGAGGAATAGCAAAGAGAAACTCTAGAATTAAATTCAGATGCTGGACTGCTTAAAAAGCCATGCACAAGGATTGGTACAATTGACCATGCTGAGGAGCAAATCTAGGCCACAAGCTGATCCCTGGTGATTTTGAAGTGTGTTGGGCACATTAGAAAAAGCACAGAATATCTGCTAAATAGCCTGGTATCTTAAATGTCTTCCATTTAACATGTAGGACATAATTCTTACTTGTGGTATGACCCCTTCTTGGGCTTTGGAGGTAAGGGCCTTAATGTGAGCACAGGTTATGCTTGTGCTGGCTTTAAGGAGCATTTGTCCTGCCCACGTACCATGAAGGAACCTGAACGCAGAGGAGAAGCATACCCTGTGAATAAAGGACCTGATCTCTGTTCCCTCTAGCCTGAAAGCATCACGTTAAGAAGATGCCAGGCTGCTTCTTTACTACAAACCCCACTGTGGGCCACACACTGCTCTTACCTGCGCTAAGCCCAGAGTACAAGCAGTATTGCTACTCTGCATCAGTACGGCTGTAGGAGGTCACCATTCCTTTATTCACGTGGTGTGAAGCGCAGGGGTACAAAGGCAAACGAACACCTCCCTCCGGAGTGGGGTTAGACCGTCACGGCGCAGGCCTGACCACAGGTGCATCTCCACACTCGTGCCTTCATACGTGGGAAGTGCAGCAGTCTGCTGGTCTCACCCCTACTCTCGCTAGTGCTTTTCTACTTTTTTTAGCCACATTTCTAAATGGAATTTAAGAAATACATATACATATATATATTTGTAAACATTTTTTATAAAGATCATACGCACACTGAACAGAGCAGCTTCATGACATGTGTTCGGAACAGTTTCTTTTCCAAAGGGCAGGTGCTGGGGGCAAGGAGGGGCTGCCTCTCCACAGGGCTGGCCAGCGTGGAGCCTCCTTCCCAGGCAGGCTGCACGCTTACGCAGCCAGCCTGGCCTGGGGCCACTCTTACACCTGCTCTCCTTCCCCTTTCGCACATACTCTGACTGACCAGTGACTAATAGGAACGGATGGAGATAGGCTGATCTTAAGTTGTCCCTCAAATTCTCCAGGCTGTGAGTGACATTGGCAGTAGGAATAGTTACTGATAAAGCTTGGACTTGGGGTATTTCGTTTCTAAATAGCAGTTCCTACCATCGTTACGATAAGCAGCATGTTTTCTTTCTATTTCATTTTCTCCTTCTCTCTCCAGAGTGAGTGGGAGAGAGAAACCACCTGCAGGAAGGCTGAACTGGTGGCATGTCTGCATCTCACCCAAAGTTATACGCAAGTTTTGTTCAGGGATAACCCTCATCTATGTCAGTGCTCACCATTGACACCATACATGTCCAGCTCTCAGGCTGGAAAATGGAAAAAAGGCGCTTGAGCCCTCCTTTAACACCCAGCCTTGTGCTGCAGTAGTTGCCTATACCTTCACTTAGCCCCAGGTCCTGTGCCCTGCTCAAGCCTGCTGCCATGCTCACAAGGAGCCGAGGCAGAGAGGGAGCTGAGGGCACGCTGTGCCTGGCAGGACAGTCCAAGCAGAGACCACAACCACTGACGGACGCCAGGTGCCATTTGTAGATCTACCTCACCTGCACATTTAACCGGGTTCTCTGTTACTTGCTGTCCTTCCATGGAAGATGAAATTTGTGAAAACTTAGTGTCAGACAATTCTGCATAACTGGGTCTTCTTTAACCCCACCACTCCAACCCCATCCTGTCTAGAGGAACGCTGTGAGCGTGATCACCTGTGCTGCAGGCCAAGGTCATGCCTGCTTCCCCCAGCCAGGCGATTGTTAAGCTGAGCACCCACGAGCGATGCTGAGGTTCGGCCTCCTGGCTCTGCAGTGTTTTAGTGTAACATACCAAAGACCTACTAGCTGAAAAGGGCAACGTTACATCATTAAAACAGTCCCTGCTGAGCGTGGCTATCTCTGGCTCCTTGAAACGTAAGGACACCTAAACCGCCCC